TCCTTCCTTCCTTCCTTCCTTCCTTCCTTCCTTCCTTCCTTCCTTCCAGGAAGTGAAGGAGAGGGAAAATATTTGTTTTGTTGATTTCAGAAAAGCTGCTCACTCCATCTGGCAACCAGGACTGAATATCAAAATTCTCATACAGTGGAGGCCCAGGAAAAGCTCTACAACATCATCAAGTCAATACACCCATCTATAAGATGCAAGAGAAATCCAAAAGGGAAAATCAATGTGCTAATGTTTTGTACTGGGCCAACACTGTACAGAGTGAAAGAGAACTGAGTCCCATGGACAATGGGAAAGCCACATGGGTAGGAGAAAGAAATGCAGGTTTGGCAGCCTCCCCTGAACCAATGCCCCTCAGAACAGTTGCCACCATCACCACACACATAGCTAGGGATTGTGGGATTTGTAGCCCAGCCCATCTGGGAAGGTTGGGCTATGAGGTCCAGCTCAGCTGCTATGAGTTGATTGGGAGAAAGGGTGGAGAATGTCATCCAGCACTGAATGTAACATACAGCTAGGAGGTACTATCACTTATTTTCTTTCTTTTTAAAAAATCCAGATGGTAGAACATCAATGGTTGACAAAGTCATTTTCTAGAGTTCAGCTGCTTAGAATTCAGCCCTTGGGAGAAGAACAAATTTTTGAACCAATCCAGATTAATAGACAAAGAGAAAGATAGTGGAGGCTGGTGGATCCAACATGCAGTGCATTCACTTCAGGTTTTAGTCTGAACTTTTAGGGGGCATTCTTTGGCATGGAACCCTATCCCTCTTTCCATCATTAAGCAGTTATTAGAAGAAGGTGCTTTTCTATTAACAGACACGAGGTAGCAGAGGTTACATTTTCCCTTCAAGAGCCTCATTCTGCACGAATAACAAGAGATGGTAAGACAGCACCTAGAGACACGTGCAAAGAACTGCAATGTTTCCCCATCTTATCCAATGAATTCCAAAAGAGGAATCCCTTCCCCTGGGTTTCAGTCAACTGGAAGTGGAGTCTAAGGGCCAAAACCAGACACAACTCTTATTTCTAGCAGTCCCATGTTTGTCATTAATTTTTATTCCAGAAACAGTGCAGGGGACCAGATCTGGAACTTAGAAAGTCCCATGCCCCTCCTCCCCAATAACAAGTACTCAATCCAGATCAGGTCCTCCACCTATTCTAGAGTAAAAATGGAAAGGAAAAAACAAAGATGTGGTCGCTAGATAGAGATTTAAATCAGTGTCTGTATTTGATACAATGTGTATGTTGAAAGAGGTAATGTTTTCACTGAGGTTCAGCTGTGATGATGGCTTGCAAAGTGCTGCCAAGATCAAGGTTGTCAAACCTCTGTCAGCGCAAGACACGAATACCATTCCAAAGAAGCTCTTGGGGGCTGCATTCCATAAGAGAAGCCACACCAGATCAGACTGGTGGTCTCTCTCATCTAGCGCTCTGTGCACACTGTGTCCAAAGCATCCTAGAGGCAGGATATGGATGCAACAGAGCACCCCCCCACACACACACACCCAAGTTCCCTCACATATATAGGCGTACTACCTCTGTTACAGAAGTCAGCATCAGGCCTAATGGCCACTGATAGCCTTCTCCTCCACAAATTTGTTCAGTCCTCTTTTAAAGCTGTCCAAGCTAGCAGACATAAGCTACACCTTGTGGGAGTGAATTTCATAGTTCAACTCTGTGCTATGTGACGTGCTTCCTTTTTCTATTTTTTTCTTTCTCTTTACTATTAGTTGTTGTTGTTACTGCCAGAATACCCCCCCCCCCCCCCAGTGAGCTTCATGGGATGACCCCAGGTTTTGGTAATAAAGGAAAAGAGAAAGATCTCTTTCCCCACACCCTGCATAATTCTGTATGCCTCTGTCCTGTCTCCCCTTACATATCTTTTTCCTAAGCTAAACAATCTCAGCTGTTGTAGCCTTTCCTCATAGATGAGTTACTCCAAACCCTTGATCATTTTACTTACCCTTTTCTATATCTTTTCCAGTTCTATAATATCCTTTTGTTAAGTGTTGTGATCAGAACTGTGCATAATATTCTACAAGATATAAGAATTTGAAAACAGATTTCAAGATTTCCAAGAACATAATCACTATTTTCGTATATTTGCAACTCCATTTTCAGTTGACATAAATATGTTACCTACCAATTTTCAAATGAAATGCATAGAGCTGCAATCTGACGTTCAACTTAAAGAAAAATTTGATCATGGACTTTTATAGGTCCTATCTTGCCAGAGACAAATATTCCTTGTTTCGCAATCACACCTTAATAATGTCTTCACTTTTTGGCAGCTCCTACGTTTGTGAGCAACTATATTCAAGAATGAAGCACACTGAGAGTAAAATTAGAACCAAAATATCTGATGAGCACCTTGAGAACTCACTGAGAATTGCAACTACTTCCATTGAACCAAATTGATGCATTAGTTTCTCAATTACAATGTCAAATATCCCACTAGTTTTATGTTGCCCTCTTTTCTTTTACTTTTTTAATAAAAAAAATCAATGAAGTTTTATTACTTAGATACGTTCATTTTCTATATTAGTGATCACAAACTTGGGACTAGCTCGATGATTTTAAAAGACTCTCTGAATGGGGTGCTGCATAATTAGGATTGTTATGCGAGGATTTTTTTTTGCTTATCTGTGGTGGCAGATACCATGGGAATTACACACAGGCTTTTTTGTGAGCTCATCAGCTTTTGTCAACGTTTGTGTATTTAATGTGCAGCCCCAGGCAATTTTTCTTCTTCGAATGTGGCCCAGAGCAGCCAAAAGGTTGGACACCCCTGGCTTAGAGTAAGAAGAATGGCCATGGGGACTGGGACCCCAGGAGGGCTCTAGTTGCCCCTCCACCCTTGACCTAAAGTTCTACACCTCACTTGTAGAGATCGCCAAGGAGTTCCCTTTGCTTATTCACTTACAACATGCATACTTCTTCTGCAGGGATGGCAATAAAAGGCACCCATTACAAAACTGCCATATAGGGAGTCAAGTGACTGCATCATCCAACTCGTTTCATCAACAGTGACTAGCAGCAGCCCTCCAAGAATTTTCCCAGTCCTACCTGGAGGTGCCAGGGGTTAAACCTGACACCTCCTATATGCAAAATATGTATTCTGCCACTGAGTTGCAAACCTTCATGGTATGCAGAAACACAGACTAGGGAGTTATGTCTGATAGATACATTTAATGGAGTTTCTAGAGAAAAAGTGAGCCATTTAAACTAAATGATGAATTAAACCCCCCAGGCTCTTGTGGGCCTATTGCGTTGGTTTCCAGTTAATAATCGGGGCTGATGCTTAGAATTTCATAATGTACAAGGAGGGTGAATGTCATAAATTTCAGGGTTCCAGTTTATCCCAAAGGTGTCAGACACACTTGATTTAACAGAGAAGGAGCAGGGCTGATCATAAAAAAGATCATGCTCATGAAGCTGAAAGAGATTCAATTTTCAGGATAGACTGTAATTCATGCATTCATTAGGGCCATGAGCCACAGTATGTCTTGAACCAGGGGCCTTCCAGAAACTGGACTAGAGCCGTGTTTCCTCACTTCTTGCATGACAGTGGAGGTCCTCAGGGCCTCACTAACCTGCTGCCTACTCCATCCTTCCCGAACAGGTTTGGTCACAGTCCGTCCTTACTACTGCATTACATCCTGATCCTGCAAACAGCAAGCATGGTGCAATGAAGCACCTCCTGTGTACATCACAACTTCTTCTGCCATTCCTGCCAGTTTCTGCCTTGCCCTTTCAAGCTTGTCAACCTCTCCTGGCTCCTTACACTACACATGGCTGGCCCTGCCGCAAGGCAGATTGAAGAAGCTGCCCCAGACCATAGATGTTGAGGGTAATAGCTCAGTTTAAACTCCAATTTTCTTTGCCTGCTAGAGTGAGGTTAAATTCTTAATCTACAAAGATTTTGCATAAACCTGTTTAAGAAGCCTTGTTTACAGGTGTTCCTTTTGTGGCCCTTGTATTTCTGCATTCATTTTTAGAATGTGGTAACCTTCCAGAGAACATTCCCTTCCCTTTCTACAAAAATTGCACAACCAGTTTTAATAAAAGCCCAGGAAAAATATAGAGCAGTGGGGAAGCAGAATCACTGTTCATTGCTGATGCCTGTCCCTAAACATCCTTGAAGGGAGGTTGTTAATAACAGTTGAATGCAATTCTTAGATCACAACCTTCTGGTCTTGTTCCTCAAGGGAACAAGAACCTCCTTAAGCTGTTTGATTTAAAATGGGCAAACATCTTTTTTTTAATGTAACAGCCAGCTCAGAAGAATCTACCAAGAGGAGCTTAGTGTACAGAAATCTAAAGCAGTGAGAAACACAACTAAGCAACTTCACCTGCAAAAACCACACATGCTTTTGTGTGGTGGAAAGCCAGTGTGGTGTAGTGGTTAAGAGCATGGGACTGGGACTCAGATGATCTGGGCTCTAGTCCCCACTCAGCCATGGAGCCAACTGGGTGACTTTGGGCCAGTCACAGACTCTCAGCCCAACCTACCTCACAGGGTTGTTGTTGTGGGGATAAGATGGAGGAGGAGATGTAAGCTGCCTTGAGCCCTTTGTAGGAAAAAGGCAGGATATAAATCGAAAAATAAATAAATAAATAAAGAATAAAATGCTACAAGAAATCCCTGAAGCTGCACATGGAGAAGAGAGTATAAGAATGCCTAGGCAGCAGGTTAATGAACTCACATCTCAACCGTATGGCCACCTTAAACATACATAAGCCCCCTCAACTAGGTATTTACTTACATGATCTATATGATGCCTGAAAGCCCACCAGGGACATCAAAGCATCACATCTGTCTGAATTAAAATTACAAACTAGCACAAGTGTTTTAAAACAACAAAGTATTCACCTAATGGAAGTAATATACAAACAAACAAAATATACAGTGAAAGTAACACCCAAAAAATCGGCACCGGTATATTTTCTTTGTCAGCCCTAGAGTCCCAGAGGCCCAGTGCACAGAACTATTTTCACAAGTACTGCAAAAAAAAAAAAAAAAAAAAACCTGGGCTGCCAGGCTCTAAGTGAGGACAATTCTACAAGGAAAACACCACTACGAAGAAGGTCCTGCTGGCTATAATGACCAACATTCCCTCTGATGGCAAAGATATCCAGAGCAAGAGCTCACTCCATGAGCTAGACATATGGAGGTAGATGGTCCATGAAAGGAAGTGCTTGAGGAGATAACCTAGACTCATACAAGTTAGGGTTTTAGCTGCTACATTTCAAGGCATGGAGGCTTCAAGGCGCTAATCTGGATATAACAGAGACAGGACTCTGACTTAGAAGACCAGATGCTTGCAAGGAGGTCCTCAAGTCTGAGTTTGGTGTAACTCTAACCACCACAGCCAATTGTGAGGAATGATGGGAGTGATAGCCCACATCTCAAGGGACAAGTTGTCCATCCTAGTCTAAGGGCTGCAATCACGAACTCACATATCAAGCAGTGCAAGCATGCAGAAGATTCCAATGAAAGAATAGTTCAAATGGCTGGAACAGAGTTCCTCTGGATTAAGTACACAACTGACTTTGTATCCTAAGCTGATTCTTCTCCAACCATCCTTGTGCAAGGCTTACACAGCTTTAATACTAAGGTGTGCTCCAACCTGGACAAGCCATTTCTCACTGTTTGCCTAAATGAGAGATAATTGCTCCTTGCTTACCTTCATCACAAGGGCTGTTGTGGGGATTAATTGCATGCTGTTCGTAACCCACTTTGAAAATGAAAAGCCCGCGTTATATTTGTATTAGAAAAACAAATAACTCCTCATCCTAACCAGTAAAATGTCATGATTACTTAGCAAGAAGGAGATGAATGAAAGGGTTGTTAATGGAAGCATTCCAAGCTCCAAAAAGCACCATGAATCCAATTGGTAACTCCCATTAGCATCATCCATTAATCCAACAAGAAGTAGCTCTAAGCTTACTTATGTGATCACAGAGATATCAGTCTGTGACATCTGACCAGATAGGAGATATTAACCCATGTCACCTTGAACCAGGGGCTCTTCCATAGATCTAATGCTCATAGAAACGCTTTCTGGAGGCTGGTTATTTGCAATATGAGCTCATGGATGGAGATGCAGATATCATATGTTGAACTGGCTATGTGAGCTCTGCATCTCAAGCAGCACTTTTCTAATCCACTATGTTTAGGATTTTTTTTTTTTTTTTGAGGATCATTTGTCACTTTGTGATTGATTGATTGATTGACTGATTGCATTTCTATTCCACCATTCCTCCAAGGAGTTCAAGGCAGCATATAGGTCTCCCTTCTCCATTTTATTCTCACAACATCCTATGAAGTAAATTAGGCTGCAAGAGAGTCAAGTTAGTTAAAAATGTGGAAAAGAGACCCACAGAAATCAATGCTATTGTTTCTCTCTTTGCTCTATCCGCCATCTTCTTGCAACTAAACATGTAAACCAAGGGTAGGAAATATGTAGCCCTCCATAAGTTAGTGGATAGGAAGTCCCATTAGCCCTAGCCAGCCTAGCCAATGGTGAGGGATTACAGAACTTGCAGTCCACATGGAAGGAAATATATTTCCTATATGTGATTTGAATATTCCATCTCACTCTTAAATCAAAGGCAAGCAGGCAACAAGGTCACAAATGAATATCCTCTTCTCTTTTGTCTTCATACCTGAGATGCCCTCTTGTTGATCTTGCTTCCTAGGATCCTGGGTCTAATGAGTAAAAACAAATTGAGTAATTTGCTTCCTGGTTCCCTTGTAAGGACATGTGCTCCTATAATTCCCACTTAATACAAGGAATCTGTTTTGGAATTAAGAGATGGGCAAACAGACTCAAAAACTCTCTTCTGTCTGGATCTCACAGGCATCTCTATATTTCTAATGTACAATAGAAGAGCTACTGCTGTTAAATAGATGATAGTACCATGGGACCTCTCTTCCATTACTCTAAGGCAAGGATCACCCATAGGTCGTGCCTCAGAGGAACTGATGCTGTTAATTTGCAATAACAATCCTATGTTAACAGCCTTTGAATC